TAACCCAGGCTGGCCTCGAACTCACAGAGATCCGCCTGGCTCTGCCTCCCGAGTGCTGGGATTAAAGGCGTGCGCCACCACTGCCCGGCTGAAAATTATAAATTTTAGTTCAACCCATTATTCAATGTCACCATTTAAATCCCTAAATAATAATCATAAAATCTATGACATGCAATCAGGAACTGTTAAGCATGCTTCATAGAATACTTGCTGTAACTCCCAGGACATCATCCAAAGAGAAAATATCATGAGCAACTAATAGATTCAATGAGGTTAGTTAAATGTCTAGCCTAAGGTCACATACAATCTTGATTCAAAGGTGTCTGGCTTCAAAACTCATGTTCTTAGGCACTGAAACATTCTACAAGACATGATTTCAGATGTGCAATTGTTTAAAAACTGACAGCAATTAACATTTTGGTGATGTACTGTATTCCAGAACAACATTGGATGAATTACAAATTTAAATAAATGAGTCCTTCATCTCAGATACATTGAAAGACTGTCTTAATCATTTGGCAGGTTTCTAAATGTAAAATATGCTGGCACTAGGCATTCTTTCTTTTTTTTTCTTTGAGACAGGGTCTCTCTATGTAAACCAGGCTGGCCTGGCCCACTGAGATTAAAGGCATGCATCACCATGCCCAGCCCAGCAGTAAGCATTCTTTATTAGCTTTTTAATTAGAAATATGAAATTCAAGCATTCATCTGATACACACAGCACATACCTTTAGTAACAAGGGCCACTGAGAAGTGTCCAATTGAGCCACTTTGGATTCTGGTTTGATAAGAAATTCTTCAGCATGTTGTATTTCCTTCAATAGAGCAGAAACATATTATCTTCTCACCTGACTTTGGGCAATTCCAATACTAGGACAGAAGTGCACCCTTTTAAACAAAAGGGGAAGGAGGGGTGTAAATTTCTGAAAGTGGGTGTCAATAGGACCTCTAAAAGTGAATTGAAAAAGGAGCTCACTAAACTCTAGGGATAGTGAGTTGAGTCCAATATTTTAACAAAACTGTGAGTCTGCTGATGGAATAAGGAAGAAAAATTCAGGGAGAACATTTCACCATTTAGTAAGCCATGCATGATAGAAAACTTCTCTGGGAGTTGTGTTATTTCAGGTTTTGTTGATTCTACATAATGACCACTAAGTACCAACATATTGCTTGAGAATATTTTTAAAGCATTTTCCCTCTTTAATGTGTTTGAATTATCTCAATCTCTCTCACTCAAAGCAAAGTAAAACATTTCCTACTCACAGCTACATCTTCTTCTTGTAATGGCTTCCGGTCTTTTTTCTTCTTATGCTTCTTTGGGAAAGTAATTACTACAAGAAACAAACTCAAGATTTGGAGATTTCTTTGAAAACTAAAACCAAAGTTTAAAATTAAGTCTAAACAGGACAGACAGAAGAAAATATTAAGACTAGCACTACTGAAGAAAACTTATGTTTGTGAGGCCAAGCACTAGATGGCTTGGCTAGTAAATTACTCTAGCACGTGTTGGTTTCCCTTCGTGTTCTCCACGTGGCTGTGGCAAGGCCAAATATACTTAGGGAAGCGCTTGTCCACAGGCTGGAAAGTTCCACAAATAACCACTGCACCGTCCGTAAGGGCTTGTGATCTCTTAAATTTTTCGTGCAAGTGTGAGTTACACTCGCTCCCGGCTCCTTTACTCCTTCCTTTGCTACCCTCATTTTAGTCATATCCTGTCTAGTGGCAGCAGAAATGCTACCACGTCTCCTTATCACGACACAGTCGCCTCCACGGCTGAGATGCCTATGGAAGGGGACCGAGTGTAGTCTTTTGCGCGAGGCCCGGACCTAATGAAGCCTAGGCACTGGAGGGTTCTCGCACTCGTGCACTCGCCTAGAGCTCGGGCCTAGCGGCGACGCGGCCAAAGTGAGGGCTGGAAAGTGCAGAACCGCGGATCACAATACAACCTCACTATCACTAGCTCAGGGGTCTCACAGCACGGCCACCCGTAACCCTTACCTTCTGCATCCGCCATCTTGCACCGCACCGCGTGGGTCCCGCCCAAGCCGCCAACAGCTAGAAACTGCAGATTCCTACCGTCTGAGGCCCGTCAGGCCGCCGCTAGGACCCGCCCACCGTTGCACCGCCCCTAGCTTGATGGGACAAGCAAAGGGAAGTGGCGAGGAGGATGGGTAGTGGAGGGGGTGGGGAGAAGTCTCAAGGAATGCGCGGGCTGTCTGCTCAATCCCATTGGCTGGCCCACTGAGGTGCGACTGCGCATGCGCTTGGAAACTCCTCCCAACTCTTGTGTATCCGCTTTGGAACCTCTAGGAGGCGTCTACAGCGGCAGTCTGGAGCGGGTGGGCATATACTAGTGTCGCGGTTTCAATCTATCTTGTGCTTCAGCACCTACTAGCGCTCTATAAATATTATCTAGTGCTAACTTATACAGACATCTTCTGTTTATTACCATTCCAGTCTCAGTTGAAAAAAAGCGTTGAAGAATAGAGTGAAAGTGAAAGCCGTTTACTTCTTGAAATCCCTATCAAGTTATGACTGTATTGGCCAGTAGGAATTGAGTGCGAGCCCCATGTGAACTTTTAAATTGTCTAGCAGCCTCATCAGACTAAAAAGAATGAAAATGATTCTCAATAGTTAATTTTACATAATCCTGCACATCTGAAATGTTATTTTAACATGGAAGCAATATGTAACAATATGTGATATTTTACTTTTTTTCCTGCATGAAGTTTTTCCAGTGTGTGTCTCACATTTAAACTACATGCCTCAGTTTTAACTCCACAGCCGGGATCTAGTGGCTGCAATATGTAACAGCCAGGAAGTAACAGCTCTAGGATTGAGCCCCGACTTTCTGGTAGATTCTTCTGTTTGTTACTCTGTGCTGCTGTATTTCATGTTAAATCTCTGGAATATCCTCCACCCTATTTCCTATTCAACCTCGGTAAATTCTTTTGACTGGATACATAACCTAGCTCTAGTGAGTTTGATAAATCATTAGTTATCTAATACTTCATTGTAAATGGAATCGTTTGCCAGTAGTTTTCCAGTTAGTTGCTGCTGACAACAACAAAAAAATTGTTCCTTTTCTTCTGATCTGCACTGCCAAGATTAGACTTTTTTTTTTTTTCAGTTTTGTTTTACTGTGACTTATTTCGGTGTTTCCTTGCCCAATTGTTAGTCTTTCTGGAATTTATTTTGGTAATAATGGTGATGATCAGAATTGACTATTAACAGATAAAACCCTTAGAACTAAGGATTATTGTTTTATAATGCCCCAGTAGTAAATATTTGACTGAGTGAATTTGAAGTACTCATTCTCCATTTGTCCACTGGCTTCATCTTTGTCCTATATCTATGCTAAAATCTTTTAGGAAAGATTTTGCTTTCAGAGAGTTCCAGAATCTGGTAGTTTTTCTTCACCCTTCTCTCACTATTAATAATGTCTCACAAATAAATAATGTCTCTATTTCTCCAGTGGCCTCCTGCAGGCCCACCTTTTTTTTAAACTTTTCCTAAATACATTGTCTTAACACAGCAGCCTGAAAGTGCCATTAAACTCAGGTCCTGTCTGTGCTTAAAATACTTTAAGGGTTGGTGATAAGATTCAGCAGTGGAGTGCTTGCCCAGAATACCCAAAGCCTTAGGCATGATTCTCATATTGCTAAATAAATAAATAAATAAATAAATAAATAAATAAATAAATAAATAAATAAATGATCCTTTAAGGGTTCTATAGTGAGTTAAAGAATGATCCCTCCAAGCTGAGTGGTGGTGACCCATGTCTTTAATCCCAGCACTGGAGAGGCAGAGGCAGGCAGATCTCTGAGTTTCAGGCCAGCATTGTCTAGCCTGGTATATAGAGTGAATTCCAGGATTGCCAGGACCATACAGAGAAACCTTGTCTCGAGAAAAAAAAAAGAGTGAAACTATGTCTACAATCTAACCTCCAGACCACCCTGAATGTGACCTCATTTGAAAAGGGGTATATGCAAATATAATGAAAATAAGGATTTGGAGTTTTTTGTTTTTGTTTGTTTTAAGAAGATAGGGTTGAGACAGGGATGGCCTTGAACTCACACCAAAATGTTCCCTTATCTCCCTATTACTGGGATTACAGATGTGTACCACCTTGCCTGGTGAAAATAAGAATCCTGAGATAAGGTCATCCAGTATTAAGTGGGTGGGCCTGAAAACCAATAGCAAGTGTCTTTGTAAGAGGAAAGATACACAGGAGGAAAATCCCATGTGAAAATGAGTGCAAACTTGACTGGCACAGCTGTCATCACAGAAGAAAGGAGGCTGAACAGAAGAATGTGAGCTTGAAGCTAGACTAGGGGCACAGTGAGACCTTGTTTCACTCCTTCTCTGCAACAATAATAATAAAACAGGCAAAGATTGAGTACTTTCAGATTTCTAGTCTTCAGTGCTGTGAAAGACTAAATTTCTAGGGTTTAAGTAACTTAATATATACTAAGAAACTCATAAACCGTCTCACTAGGAGCAAAAGCCAGAATCCTTGCAAGGGTTGTGCAAATAGTTCTCTTCTGAGTTCCTGTCTTTCCACTTGGTCTTATTCTCCCCTTCCTGCCATGATGCTGTAACCGGCTTGGCAGGAGTGAAGATACTCTAAACAGACACTTGTTTCCCTTACTTTGGCAGTGAGGCCATTGCAACAATGGACCCAAGAAAGTGGAATTCTTCCGGGAATCTCATGCTGAGAGAAGAGAAAACTTAAAACCTGGGCTAACCAGAGGTAAAACTTTTCTTCCAGAAAGAGATTTCACACAGTCCTGACAATTTGTCAGACCCCCTTAAAGAATGAAACTAAATTCTACACAGTAATAGGTAACTGATAGGCAGGGATCACACCTTTACTGGGACTGCTTAGATGTACATATCCCCTGGCACCCTGTTTAAACTTAAATCTCACCTCAGGAACCAGAAATGGACTGTAGAAGGAGTCACTGAGTCTCTTTGTCCCTCTTCCCAATGTGGCCATATTGAATAAATATTTTTCTACTTTTCCCTGTTAATTTGGCTGTTTTCGTTGGCTTATGAAGGATGGGTGGCAAAACTTGCCTTGTTGGGACACAGGCTTCGACCCCAACTCTGGCAACAATGTCCTTTGGCTGTTTCAGAGGTACTCCCCCATCTTGGAGCTTTTATACATCTTCCTTCTGCTGTTTATTAGCTGTCCTTACACAGAATGTTAGCTTTATGAATGCAGGGAGATTTTTATTTAGTTAGTTCACTCCTATATACCTAACTCCTAGAAGATTCTCAGGCTTACAAAATAGAACCAAACTGGATTTCCCCACAAAAGATGTTCATAGAAGTATTCACAACAGCCAAAATTTGGAAACAGCTCAAATTTTTATCAGTAGATGAATGAAATGAGGTTTATCTATACATTGCAACAGTATTCAGCCATAAAAAGGAATGAAATACAGTGTGTGTGTGTGTGTGTGTGTGTGTGTTGTTATTGTTTGTTTGTTTGTTTGTTATAGGGTCTTAGTGTGTAGCCCTGAAATAGCCTGGAGCTTGGTTTGTAGATCAGGCTACCCTTGAACTCAGAAATCTGCCTGCCTCTGACTTCAAAGGCATATGCCACCATGTTTGGTTCTACTTAGGGTGTTTTTAAATTACAGAAATGTTCTAAAAATGGTATCGTGGTTATGGTTGTGAAAAACTAGGAGTTAGACAGACTCCCTGGTAGGCACACTGATTTAGAGAGGGGCCACGGCTAGGTAATAAAGGTGGTAAATTTCTGAGATGGCCAGCTTCTTCCTCACCTTCCTGAAACAAAGGCTTTGTAGGTTTTTGTCTCCCAGAAGCAGGCTCCTTGCTGATGGACTGACTCAACAAATTCAAGGCCAGATGAGGACATGCCTCATAACAGTTACAGGCCAATCAACCATCCTATATTTCTTCAAACCAACCCTACCTAAATCAGGCAAGGAAAAGTCTTCAGAGGCTTTAAAAAACGTCAGCCCTGGAAAAGAGACTGGACTTTTCCATTTCCTGATCTCTACCCCCCTTTACAGAGGGTCTTTTTCTCTGTGTCCTCTGTGCATCTGCTACATATGTATGTTTCCTCATGCCCAATAAACGTCTTTCTTCAATTGCTGATTCTGTCTGTGGTGCATGAGATTTTTCCACTGCCATCTGTGGTGCTTCAGATTTTTCCTGCCTTTTAATTCTTCAACTGGAAGAGAAAACAAATCCAATCAATAACCCTAGACTTTATGAGTTGCACATGATTTCAAGAATTGCTTATATTTTGATCTATCACTATTCCAAATTATAAAATTCAGTGAATTCTGTTGATTCTCTACAAGAAATTAAGGGCAACTTCGAGGATTGGGAGTCAGAAGGTTCCCTAACTCCTATTGAGCCTCTGTTGTTTTGTCTAACTGATGGTAGCTCCTTTCTTGAGTGAGTGAGTGATGGAGCAAGGAAGGGAAAGCTCATTCCCTTTAGGCAGACAATCTCAGCCACAGTTTCCATCTGTAGCAAAAGAGTTAACCCCTGCCTTGCCCCAGGACCAATTTAGCGAGCTAGAAGCTGCAGGAGAAAAACTTGTATTTGAAAACAATAGTAAGAATTCACTGAGTTTTATAAACAAATACCACATTTTATCTTGTGTGTAGTCTAGATTTTATGTTTGAAACAAAGTGTCATTGAGTAGTCAAGGCTGAACTCAAACTTGAAGCAATCCTTCTACCTCAGTTTCTAAGTACTAGCAGTGCATGGCCATGTTCAGTTTTTAACAAATTTTTAAGTTCTGTACTTTATTTATTTTTATAATTTAGTTAGCATACAAAATAATGGGTTTCAAGTTTGAGATCAGCCTTGACTATTCAGTGACACTTTGTTTCAAACATAAAATCTGTGCCATAGGCTTCTTCCTCTAAGCATCTCCTCAACTTTAGCATCTATATTACAATAATATGTTAGCTGACTTAAAATTATCTTTTTACTCCTGTTGGTCAAAAACCTTGACATTTCAATTATATAAATGTTCTCTGTGCACAGATATTTTTGTGGTGGTATGTATTCCCCAAAATATTGTGCACCCTAATAAACTTCTCTGGGGTCAGAGACAGAACAGCCACTAGATACAAAGGCTAGAAAATGGTGGCACTCACACCT